TATATTGTTGCGAGGAAACAGAATTGTTATCCCTAGAAACCTTAGACCTCAGGTGCTGAAAGCTGCTCATGAAGGACATCCAGGAATGGTTATGATGAAAAAACGATTAAGAACGAAAGTTTGGTGGCCAGGTATTGATGCTGATGCAGAAAAAGTAGTCCGTCAATGCAAAGGATGCACTTTAGTGTCTGCCCCGAATCCCCCGGTTCCAATAAAGCGACGAGAATTACCTTCAAAACCATGGGTCGATGTAGCAATAGACTTCATGGGCCCATTACCTTCCAAGGATTATATTTTTGTGATGGTTGATTATTACAGTAGATACAAAGAGGTTAAAATCATGAAACACATAACAACAGAAAACACAATTGACGTTCTTAAAGAAATATTCTCACGACTGGGAGTACCAGAAACGTTGACGGCTGATAATGGAAGACAATTTTGCAGCTTAGAATTTAAAAAATTCTGCACCGAATATAACGTCGTTCTACATAATACCATTCCGTATTGGCCTCAACAGAATGGGGAAGTTGAAAGGCAAAATAGATCCATAATAAAAAGAATTAAAATAAGCCAAGCCACCAAACGCAATTGGAAGCAAGACCTTCTAGAATACCTAATGATGTACAACAGTACACCACATTGTACAACAGGCAAAACACCAGCAGAGTTATTTTTTGGACGACCATTCCGTGATAAGCTTCCAAGCATTCCAAGCCAACAACCGACAGACGGAGAAGTTAGAGACAAAGATAAGGAAGAAAAAGCTAAAGGAAAAGATTACGCAGACAGGAAAAGAAAAGCCACAGAAACTAACTTAGAGCCAGGAGATAAAGTTTTCGTAAAGAATCAAATTAAGGAAAACAAGCTCACCACAAACTTTAATCCTGAAACTCATACGGTTATAGAAAATCAAGGAGGAGATGCCACAGTAAAAAATGACACAACAGGAGTAGAGTATAGAAGAAATGTCGTTCATTTAAAAAAAATAGGGGATCAGTGGACTGTTTGTAGTAGGGAAGACTAACAGCTTTAAAGTATCTTGATAACTTGTTAAAATATTTAAGTCTAGGTTTAGTAAGTGTTCGTTATACATATACATAAATATAAATATTTAAGTCTAGGTTTAGTAAGTGTTATTTATACATATATGTATACATTATACAGGTATATTATATAAGATTGTTTATTAATTTACTTACGTTAATTTAAATTTAATTTGTTAAAAGGGAAGAGATGTAGTATATCGATTTGTGTATTTGTTTAGTGTTTATGACTAATTACTTATTATGTTTGTTATATATTATATTATGATGATGTAATGTGCGGATTGTTCTAGTTTAGTTGATGCCGTGACAGTGAAGTGAACGGTACGGTGCAATATACGAATTAGGAATAGATTGTGTATTATTTATACCAACCCCTAAGAGTAAAGTGGACACTACAGTCACCCCCGGGGTGCAAAGTCACCCGTGTTTAAGGTACTGTTTTTTTAAGATTTATTTAATAATAGTATTAATAAATTATGGTCGAAATACACAAAATAGTATGAAAAACTCGCGTTACAATGACTTATTGTGATACTCCTCCTATTGGCACACTCCGCTTCGCAGTCGTACTGTAAAATAACTCGGTATAACAATAAGGGTAATTGTAACACTCGTTTTACAAAATACTATTTTGTTAGTTTTGATATTGCTTCAGATTTTTATTGTCCTAGGTTATGAAATGCGTATGTAGATATAAAAATTAGAACAAACATATTTAGATACGTATTAAAATTAAAATTGTAACAAACAAACTTTTGTGTTAAAGATTAGTTAGTTGTCTTTTTAATATTGCTCCAGATTTTTATTGCCCTAGGTTATGCTTACGCGTGTATGTAGATATAAAAATTAGAACAAACATATACGTATTAAAATTAAAATTGTAACAAACAAATTTTTGTGTTAAAGATTAATAAAAGGGTTAACAGTGTTAACTTAACACTGTTACAAAATGTTATTTTTTTTCAAGCGTACAATAGGTTTCATATTACACATGTATAAGACTCATAAGTCTATATAGAAAGACTTCATATTAATAATAGTACATAGTACAGAATAGTACAGAAATTATTTAATTAAATGCTTGAAAAAAAAATAGAAAATTTGTGATTTCTCCGCCTGGTCTTTAATGTACTATTATTAGTTATTTTTAATAAATTTCCTCGTCTTAAAGCGGGACTCCACCATAAACCATAAGCTTTAAGTATAATAACGATTTACAATTTCCCAGATAGCACAAAGTACTAAAAACGTCCTGAGTATATCTTTTATCAGACATTAGTAAGTTCCGAGTACGTCCGAATCAGGTCCTGAACCTACCCCAGGACGTTCCAGGGACATCCGATGTTACCAAATTGTCGGTCCCCAGAACGTCCTAAGTAAGACATCCTCCGGCCATCCTGAAATGCTTTATTGGGGACTAATGGACAAGCTTTACAGAATTGAAGAGTGGTATTCCCAAAGGCCCAGACAGCAATATATATGACGTCTTAATTAAGTCTTATTTTATTAATTTGTTAAATGGATTTTATTAAAATCATTTTAATAATTTGCTCGTATTCGCTTATTTTAGGAATTGCGATTACTTCGTCTCACTTTTGTTTAAATTTAAGCGTGCTCTTCACCGGCACCGATAGACGGCCAGTTTCCCTCTTTTGGAGCTCGTCACTGACGAGTCGTCAGTATCGGGTAGCCGTTTACCTAGGTCTAAGACCGTTTGGTATGAAGCACTCTCTAAATTCTACTTCGCCGCTTCTTATATCAAATACAAGCAGTTACAGCGGTGAGAAGAAAGAATCGCATTAAAATGTCATAAATGTGACGTCTCCATGTTGACGTCTTAAAGAGTTAATAATATAATTTCAGTAAGAAGTAAGAAAAGAGAATACTGTAAGATATCATATAACTAAAGTCTTATTTATGATACCTACCCTTAGTAGCTTCTAATTTTGATTCCAATAAGAGGTCAGAAAAAAAGATACTTTAAGATTATAAAAAATTTACTTCTTATTTATAAATTCATCAAGAACTCTTAATCTTGAGCTCCTAAAAATGATTTCTCTAAGATGTCATATTGTGACCTCAGTAAGATGTTTTTCAACAGACTTCGTACAGAAATCTTTTTGAATTGGATGCTGTCTGGGGGGTCTAAGTTACAAAAATAAAATTGTGAGTTATCAATGAAAAACAAATATTTTGCACATGTAAATGTTGAAATGTCTGAAACACGTACGTTTGGAATTGCATATTCCGCTCTCCTGTAACCGTCAATTTCGCCTTCGGCTCGTATGACAAACTCTTCACTCGAGCGGATATGCTGTATTCCAAATTTGTTACAGAATATACTATTATAAGTCATTCTGCATGACACGGCCTTGGGACGTACCCAGTATATCCGCTATAATTTTCCCAAATAAGTAAGAGACTGGACCGGACTGGACGTACCCAAAACTTCCGATATAGGTCTAGGACGTTCGGACCTATGTGGGACCCGAAATGGACGTCCTGGGTACCTCTTGTGCTATCTGGGTTACTAATATTTGTGTTATATTTTATTAAGATATAACAGAAAAAATCCTATTGATTTGTTGTAAACACCTATACCTAGATAAAAATATAGGTACGGAGAAAAATATTAATTTAAAAAGATAAATAAAATGCAATTAATATTTTGTTATCAGAAGATAGAGAACTATAAAAAAGAGAAATGCCCCTAAAAGTAAACATCATGCAACATGACTAACAATAATGACAAAAAGGGAATAACTGGCAACAAATATGGTATAAACTAATTACCTATTACTTATATTATTTTGTTTAACGGTTCTTTTATTTTAGTCTTAAGTAAAATAACAATGCCATAAAAAATGGTCAAATGCGGCAGACCCAAGGATTCAGAATGGACGATAATTGGGTCTAAAAGAAACTAAAATACCTATATTTTTCATTCAAATTTTAAGAAATTAAAATTTATTTTCCAATTATTTTTAATTAATAACATTTTAATATTAATGCTGTTTTAAGAAAAGCGCATCGCATTTATGTCCCAACCTTATACGTACCGTGCAGTAGCCCCATAATATGGGGCCCATATCCATATTTATGTTACGCGCGCAAGGGGCCAGAGTCACATGTGACTCTCGTATGTATACCTATAGAGTTGTGCGCAAGGAGCGCAGGTCAGCCAACTATGGTTCAGTGCGCACGGGGTAGCAATCACTGCGTTTGTTTAATTATATAAAAATAATAAATTTAATATTGAAGGAAAAAAGTAGTAAGTAAGCTACTTATCAAGATTTTCATTATGCATTTTTAATTAGTTTATATTGTGTCTTTCCCATTAAAACTAGAATACCTATTAGGTCTATCCTAATGGTATTACATTTTAAATATTTCCATAGTTTTAATTAAAAGTAGTACTAAAGTACTAATTTTTATTATGCATTTTTAATTAGTTCGTATTGTTTATCTTTCCCATTAAAACTAGAATACCTATTATTCTATTATGATAGGCTATCAGATAGGTCGTATGTATCTAAGTTTTTTTCAAAATCCATAATTGGGAATTTTTTAAATAAACAATGTTTTACTTTTTTTAGCTGAACTTTAACAAAAATTACGGCAAATACCAATGTGTCCAAATAATAAAACGAACTTTAGTTGCTATAAATCGAGCTAAAAAAATATGTTTTATTTAAAAAGAAAATATGGATTCAAACAATATTCAATAGGTGGGAAAGATACTTGTCACAAGGACAATATTTTGACATTATTATAAGACCAATTAGTCATTTTAAATACAAAAATGACAATAATTTGGGGTTATAGGTTTATCTGGATCTAAACATTTTGCAATGGGTAGGTATATGTAGGTACCTATCTTATGAACTAAAAATATCGAAATGTACATGTTACAATTTTTTTATGTAAAAAACAACAGTAACAGTTACTCACCCAAGTGCAGACGTTTTCCCTCATCATAAGATAAAAAACATCGCTTAAAAACTGCGTGACAGTCCTAACAGGACCATCAGAAGAATTCGTGTTATTCATCCCCAACTTCTCGATCTCGTTTTCTGTGTCAATAATATTTTTGGGATCCTTAATATTCTGCACAGCATAATAAATGCACGCCGACAGCGCTAGCACGCTTACACTCGAATAGATCTTCAAATTCGGCATCGGTAATCTTTGCAAGACACTTGCAGGCATGTTTATTTCGACCAACAACACACGAAACTTACGATTTTATTAATGACATGACCGAAACGAACGTGCTCTCGTCCCTAACGTCTGCGTCTGACTGAAAATTGCAAGTACGCGGCGATATCGATCAGCTGTTTGACAGAGCGCACAGAACACAACCAGCGTGTTTTTTTGCTCTCGAGCCGGTATTACAACACTCTGCAACGCTGGCGGGGATAACCCTGCTCACGCAATGTGTACGAATTCAAATAAACCACAGATTATAAAGGTGAAATAAACCGCCGAAAATTAAAAAAAGTTGGCTCCTATATAGATTTATATTATGAATATTTCAACCATAATTTCGTACACATTTCGTACTTAATTGATAGTTGTTTACTTTATTTTAGGTATTGTATTTTTTAAAAGTTACAATTTTCTTTGGGTGAATTTTGAATGGTATAATCGTTGAGTGAAGGAGTACTAATCAATGATCATACCCTTAATTAAGGTATAATTATATTATTTCCCATATTACATAGGTACCAAAATCTCTTAATTTTTCAAAAGAACATATTCAGAAATTAAAAAATACGTTATTAGAATAAGTATACCTACATACTTTACTGTTAAAACCCTGCATGCATGATTTGTTGCTTTTTTGTTATTTTTAAAATGTCCTCATGTGCTTTTAAAATCAGTTTTTCGCGTTTTTAAAGTTTAAATGAGTTAAATATACTATTTCAAACGGTATAAAGTATTTTTTTATAAAATGTATTTTTTCCATTTTTACGGGTTTTGGGATGTTTTTTGAAAAAAACGAGACAAAATAACTTTAAATAATTATATTTAACCTTCACCTTTTAAAGAGCATTTTACAATAATAAAAAATGATATACAAAATGGTTAAAATTAACATTTAAACATTAAAATAAAATTTCAAAATTTAATAAATTAAAAGCAGTTTTAATAATTGGCATTATAGATAGCAATTGATTATTGTCATTTTTCATTGACTTTACTGGCTAATTTCAAAATGCTAACTAAGTTTATTCCCAAAGGTAATTAAATATAAACAATAACAACTTAATTAGGTATGTCTATGCCAATACATAAATATAAATACTAAAATACAACAATAACAATACTCGTTTTTTAACTTTCTTTTTATTAAACAATTAGTGACTAGATATATGAAGTGGAATCTTTTTTTGTTTTTTTATATAATCAACAATACATAGTTCAAAAATTTCATATACATTTCTTACGATACAGTAAAACAAAAAATTAAAATATATGAATGTATAGATTGATTAAAAAAAAATTTATTATATTCTTTTTAATTTTGTGTTTACTGTTTGTATCTAACTAAAATGTCATGACTCTAGTTGTTCTAGCTTTTATGAAGATAATATATTTTAAAAAATTATTGCTTTTAACCCAATATATTGACCAATGAAAATCCTTAGTAAAGCAAGCGTGGTGTAAGTGAAATTCCAACATAAAAATCGCCCTGTATAGGTCAAATTTAATGCCAACAAATCATTGGACAATATAAATTGGGTTGTTCAAGAACTACATAACATCACCCTTTATTGAGTATATAAACTTTTCTGTATATAAAAGCGAATTGCATTTTCCTTCAAACATTTTCACCTAACGCTATATTTTTTTAATTAGTTAATGCGTTTATTACGAAATATACACCTCACCAAGTAGTTTTTTATATAAATTGGGAGAAAAATTATTTTATCTTGAGATTTTTAGGACCCCTTTTGTAACAATAAATAATTTAAACAATCTAAAAAATTCTATTATTTTTATAACAATCCACAATTCTTTGATTGTCCCTGTAGTTTTTAGTCTATGTTATAGGATGTGTGATTTTTTTCAGCCAGGTTATTTTTTTTTGGGGGGGAGAGGGTTATTTATAATTTTTCTTCTAACTAGGAATTATGTAAGGAATTTTTCTTCTGGAATCTGTCCCCTGGGCATTAACCAGTATTTACCTAGGAAAAAATAAATTTTAACTTTTAAAATTAACATTAAACATTAAAATAAATAAAAATATTAGCATTTACAAACCTATATTATTAAGGTAAGAACAGTAGAAAGTTTATCAAGAAAAAAACAGGCAATATGATTCAAATTTGAAATTACAAAAAAATAATTTGCAGCATACATAAAAGTAAAAAGTCACTTTTTAAAAGTGTTTACTTAACGAATTAACTATCTAAACACCTAAACTAGAATACAAAAATTATTAAATATATGGTTTTACCTGAGTCTTTGAAAAACAGCTAAAAACAAGAAATTAACATGACAATTTTGATATTTTGTGTAAAATTACAGAATACGAGGGTGGTTCAAATATAAACCGGAATTTTGCTATAAATTTTTTTATTGTTAAGTTACAGAGCTGAAATTTTTTACAATTTTTCTAGATAGTCTCCGCCACACTCTACACACTTTTGCCACCTCTCCGAAAGCTTTCGGATGCCTTGTTCGTAAAAATCTCTCGGCTTGTCACGTATCCATTCGCGCACGAAGGATTCTACCTCCGCATTGCTTTCGAATCGCAGTTCGCCAAGTGCCTCTTTCAATGGACCGAAAAAATACTAGTCGCATGGCGACAAATCGGGACTATAAGAAGAGTGTTTCAGTGTTTCCCAATCCAATTCGTTCAATGTTTTCATCAAACTTCCCAGCGTGTGAATTTCTGCTCAAAATTCAGAAGTCTTGGCACCCATCTGGCTGAAATTTTGCGGTAACCGAGCCGTTTATGAATTATTTGCTCAATACTACCTACGCTGATGCCCAATTCTTCAGCCATATCGCGTACAGTACTGCGTCGGTCTTCCAAAATGAGTTTTTCTACAGCGCTGACGTTCTCATCTGTAACACTTGTTTTGGGGCGCCGCGCATATGGCAAGTGCCACCACTTCTCGGCCTTTTCGGAAAGCGGAACACCATTCATACACTTGAGTCTTGGAGAGGCACTCATCCCCGAACTGCTCAAGTAATTTTTGATAAAATTTTCGCGGATTTCACATTATCTTTGACCAAAATACGAATAATGATACGTTGCGCAACAGACACTGGTACATCCTTCTCGCTCATGGCTATAACTACACTGAAAAGCGAGGTTACGGAGTCCCGGCTGTTCTCTACGCTTCGTAACAGACCAGTCTAACATCCAGTGCAGCCACTTTTACGACACTAAATTTTTCGCCCGTTTATTCAAAAATTCCGGTTTATATTTGAACCACCCTCGTACATGCGAAATTCTAAAAAAACAATTTCTAAGCTAGCTATAAAAACAAAAATACAAAATTTGAGAAATATGTATTTAATAAAAAATCAAAAAACGAAAAACAAAATAGAATACCAAAATAATAAAAAAATGTAATGATGCAAGAACTAAATATCTTAAAATTAATACTTTTCATATTTTTCAACCTTGGATACTATTTTATGAAAAACAATAGAAGGGTCAAGTGGATTCAGTATAAACAAATTTTTTTCAAACCAAAATGTATTTTAATCAATAAAGTGTTTATTGTTGTTATAAAATGAAATGCAGACAATTTAATAATTAATCATTTATAAGTAATTAAGTAACAATAAACACATTTTTAAGCAATTGCGTTTATGGAAATGTCTACGTATACATATACATATATGTATACCGCATTTTCATTTAAAACATATAAACTGGAGTCAACCCTAGCGCATTGGCGTAACTAGCCATCTGACCCGGGGGGGCCTAGGGTGGTCCTGTTATTGTGGTTAAATGCCATAAAAAAAATAGACAATATTAACGTTAAGACCGCTTCTGTTTCCTCTAAACATTTTCTGGACAGTGACTATAAGTTTAATTTAAAACACCAACTCTTAAACTACAGTTCTAAATGTTATCAAAGACTGAAAGAATCTATTATCCATATTATAACACTTTCTTTAATATTAAGTTTAATAAAAACGCACTGTGTCCAGATATTTCTCTATTTTCTTTGATAATATTACTATTATTCGTTTATTCGCACGGCAACTACTCATCAAGTGACGTCATGCGCGGCACGAACCAAAACCTCCACGGGAGCATCCAGCCCTGATTTGCTAGTTGTGAGCTTGCAGGGGCGGTTTTAAAATAGGTACCTACTCGTATTTTGAAAGTTGATAAAATACAACCATATTCTATTGCAAATTTGGTAATAACAAAAAATTGTAACAGATAAAAGTCAGCCTTTTCCTGGGGGGAGGCCAGCGATGTCTGGGGGGGACCAGGCCCTCCTAGGCCCCCTGTAGTTACGCCAATGCCCGAGCGAACCCGATCGCCCCTCCCCATTGTAAGCGGATTGTAGCGACGATTCAGTCATATTTTGCATTTGCTAGTTGGTATTTTGAGCGTTTTAAAATAAATTAATTTCTTTTATTTAAAATTATAAGTTATAAATTATAACTTATAATTTTAAATAAAAGAAATTAAATGTCCTACACATTGCAAGAGGTCTTTAGTGGGCAATTAAATAAATATCCGGATCGTTCTATTCCGTCAATTAGAACAATAACAAACGTTTTTAATTAATTTATTTACATTTATTTTAAGATGTTTGATTTTTAGTTTTGTTTTAAGAGAATTGATTTATTTATATAATTTTTTTTTAACAGAATTATTTTATTTTTGTATTTTAGTTTTTAAAGAGAATATTTTATGCTTAAACGTTTTTTTATAAGAAAACACTTTTAGTCAAATGCAAAACAAATAATGATTTTACACCTTTAATTAATAATTTACTGTTACGTTACATTTTAAGTATCTGGATCATTTTTAAAAGTAAATTAACTTAATAATTCAGAGCAAACTTCGACTATCACCCATAGCCGGTGAGGGGTCTACTACTGAAATACGTAAACCTTCTCTCGGCGTCTCTCACTCTTAAACATTATTATCCCACTCTTAAAAACCGAATGCGGCCTACAGGAAAAATGAAAATACGGTATATACATATATAACTATTCACATATTTTACTTTTGGAAGAAATCGAAAATTTACACAGGGTTACAAATTTTAGGTCGCTAAACTCATTTCCAGCACCCATTTTTCGCAACCATGTCAAATATTTTGAGATTTCAGATTTCCAAGAAGGTCAAAATTTTAATAAAATCAAAAAATATTAGAAGAAAATCTTTAAACACCTTCTTGGATATCTTGTATATTTGGAAAGGATAAAAACCGTACATTTTTGAATACAAACGTCACAACCTACTTTACCTATACAAAATCAATATTTTTTGTTTTAATTTATTACAAAAGTTATTTCAAATTTATATTATACCAAATGGATTTTAACAGGTCTAAGTAAATATAATAATAGTATATTATTAAAGAACTAATGTCATAAGACGTCATTTTGTCGCACGCGGACAATTTATAAAACGAGCGACAAAGGAGCGAGTTTTGTAATGGACGAGTGCGACAAAAGGTCTTATGACATGAGTTCTTTATGATATTTTGCAAAAATTCTATAAAAAAAATTAATTTTATACCTTAAATTTAATTTGGTCGAATTTTACTTTAGATAGTTGGTATCAGAATCATTGGTTTGACAGTTAATGTCAAAATCGATTCGCCATGCCGTCCTTTATTTACTTATTTACAATAAGCGGCTGTTAATGTTAAAGAAGAAAAGAAGGATTTTCTTTGGTGTTAAACAAAATTTATTGCCAGAAAAGTCTCATAAGTTTATATACAAAAGTGCTCTTTAAGTTCCACCCTTACTTCTTAAGAAGTCCCATAAGCCAACTGAATGGCTTGTGCGGGTTAGGGGTAGGAACGGACCGCGGGCTTAAAGTCCCCTCCGAAGGACTATTACACAATAGGACAACACAAATAAACTAGTACTAGTAAAATTATAAAAATATTATAACCAATATGCAAAATATTATGCTGTTTAAAGTATAGTCTACCTATAAAATCAAAATTTTGGGTGGGATAAAGTATCTCATTACAGCACCGAAAGCAGTGTTATAATGAAGTCATTATGAACGCAAAAAAGATAAATTAAATAGTTAAACAGGGTTCCCACCAAGAAAATAAAACAAAATTCCCTGACTTTTCCAGGTTTTCCAGACCAATTTTCATTAATTTCCAGCAATGATTAAAGGTACTATGCTCCACACCTCAAAGTCCCACCACGTAACCAAGTACGGAACGCAGTCTTTTGAAAATTTGGCATTTAAGGCTTTTCAGGTTATGTATTTGTCAAAGTATAGTCAATGAAAGAAATCATATTTATGGTTGGTTTAAGAATTTACGCATATAAATACTGCATTTAATGAAATTCCAAAGTGTAAGGTGCAATATAAGTGATATTTTTTTGCATTGGGTCTACATTTCTCCATAAAATAGTTTTAACTAAACAGAATTTATTTAAAAAAAATCTAACTTCTCTATTATGAAATAAAAATATCTGTATTTGATATATCAAAGGTAGGTTAATGTATTAGAACAAAAAATTTCATCTAATTTTGTATTTTAAGGTTAGAAAAATCTATTTTGACCAAAATAAATAAGTGGATTATTTGGAAGAGTGTGTTAATTTGGTCATAAATGAATATAGGTATACTAAATAATTGTCTTATACTTCTAATGACAAAACTTGTGCATACCTCTCGGCATACCTACTTTAAGTTATGTAGATTATAAGAAAACAAACAATTTTTAGAGAAACTTGCAATGTGAAAATATTTAATACTCCCATGACATGTGATTTATTAAAATTTTTAAAGTTATAATGATTTTTTAATGTAGATCAAATTCAGTCGAAGCTTTTTAACTATTTGTATTGACAAAACTTTATGTAGGTACACTTTAAGCTGGATAAGAAAAACTACCACAATTTTAAATACCATATTATACAGTCTTTTAAATAATCCAAAATACTTATTTATTTTGGTCAAAATAAATTTTTCTAACCTTAAAGTTACAAAATTAGATGATATTTTTGTTATAATATATTAACCTACCTTTAATACAGATATTCTTATTCCATAATAGAGAAGCTAGATTTTTTTAAATAAAAGCTGTTTAGTTAAAATTATTTCATGGAGAAAACCAGATATTTGGACCAAATGCACAAAAATATTACTTATTTGGCACCATACACTTTGGAATTTCATTAAATGCAGTATTTATATTCTTAAATTCTTAAACCATCCATTGTTATTCTAATGTTATAAAGATACATACATTTTTAACGCCTAAACATAATATTATTTCTTTCGTTGACTATACTTTGACAGATACATAATCTGAAAAGCCTTAAATGCCAAATTTTCAAAAGACTGCGTTCCGTACGTGGTCACTTGGTGGGAATTTGAGGTATTTTTCTTTTTACATTTTTTTTTAAACATTTCTTAAAATATAATAAAAAAATTAAACAGAACATTCATAAAAAATTTGAAAGGAAACAAACTTAGTTTATAAGGTCATACATTTTATATTATAGTATTTGCGCAAATGATTTATTTTAGTTTCAATGCCCGGCTATATTATTTGTAAAAAATAATCTTCGGCCGGTAATAAAAATAGAAACAATTTTCGGAAAAATCAAGAAAAATTAGTTAAATTCCCTGACTTTTCGTAAAAATTTGTTAAATTCCCTGACTTTTCGTAAAATTCAGCAAATTCCCTGACTTTTCCCTGACTTTTTTACTAATATTTAATTTCCCTGACATTTCCAGGTTTTCCCTGTTTTCCAGGTGAGTGGGTACCCTGTTAAAGTAAATAATAATAAAAAATAATGTCACAGTTGTATGTAGACATATGCCTTTAATTTTATTGCTTACGATAAAAATATCTTTAAAACTTGACATGATTGCCAAAAACTACGAATTCGTGATTAGCGCCAGAAATACTTTACACACATTTTGGCTGCTTAGGTCCAAAATCAGGTAAACCTGTGTTATTGATATTATGGTATGAAAAAACTTAAAATCATCATAAACTGATAATTTGTATAAAATTAAAAGAATAAAATTCAAATATGTTAATTAAACAACTATTTAAAGAAGCGTTCATAACCTATTTCTTAATATAAATCTTTTTATGTCTAGAAATATAGGGTGACTGGTGGATTTTGGGTATACCAATAACTCAATTATTAGATATAGGACCCACATCAAATTTTTATGAGTTTATAATGACATTAAATAAACAAGTTCTACGCAAGCAGAATTGAAATTGAATTGAAGTTTGCGAAAAAAAGTTAACTTTTTGCTTGGCCGTACCGGCCCCATGGCGCCCCCAATAAATATAATAATTTAATTGGTGCAATTTATTATTTACCATAGTTTATCGACAAATTTCAAATTTCATTTAAAAAATCCAAATTATACAGACTTAAACATTTTTAAATTTTTAATATTTCTTTTCACCCGCCAAAACGTTAAAATTTAATAAAAAAATCTTAAGCTTGTAAAACATGTAATTTAATCTTACAAATTGTATGTATACTTAAAGTAAATTTTCAGGGTGTCCACTGCAAATGCCAAAAACATCTCTGACTTTCCCTGACTATTATGTCAAATTTCACTGACCAACCAATTTCGTTTTAAAACTGGCTTTTCAAAAAATAATGTGAAGTAAATAATGAATCATTCATAACCTTCATTTTTTGTTATTTTTGCAATAAGGATTAATTGTTAGACGAGCCATTTTCACTGGAAAAGTGTGTGGAGCAAACAGTGTAAATTATCATGTTTCCCTGACTTTCCAGGTGACCCCCCTTGATTGCACTGAATTTCCTTGACCACATTGAGCTTACCTGACTTTTCTCTAATTTTCCAGAAAGTGGACACCCTGATTATTAGGATCATAAGTAAACGCTTCTTTATAAATAATTATTATTACTAGGGTGTTTGAAAAACCGAATTGTTTTTTTTCTTGCAAAACAGGCTCAAAAGTTTTGTTTAGGTATAAAAATAGGCCTGTGAGTAGAGATGCGACTTGAAAAAAAACGGTTCGTTTTTTTTGTTTTTTTTTCAGGTTTTTTTTCATTGTTTTTTTTCAAATGGTTTTTTTTTCACATTTTAGGTTTTTTTTTCAAAATAAGTCCCATTTGCCCAATTTTTTATGTTTCCATGGACTAAAATTAGCCTCTAAATGACAATTAGTAAATGTAAATACAGTCTCGCGCTATGCACGCGCCACAACCACCGATTTGACCAATAAGGGCCGCGCTTGTTTTGATTTGGTCCTAAAAAAAGTAACTACATACATATAATATATTTGATTCAGCGGTTGATTTTTCAAAAGCAACCAAAAGCACTTTTTTCATGATTTTTCAAATTCTTGTAGAGTATGGAAATTTTTTTTTTCAAAAAACAATAGCAAATTCTTGTCGAACATTTGGACCAAAAAAGAAAACAAAAAAAATCGATTTTTTTATTACGTTATTCGTTAGTATTGACCGTTGCACGTCTAAAAATCTCAAAACTATAAACTTCAAGCTTCAAATTGCTTTTTTTACGGCTCCAATACGACCATTTTTAACAAAGATACAGTTATCCGAAAAATCGCAAAAAAAAAATTTGTATCGTTTAATTTTTTTTTTAGTGTAGAAATTTTACATTGCTATTGGTTTCTAATGTGGAAACTACCAAATAATAAGAAATCAGATTTTTTAGTCTTTGTCAAAATTTTCAATTTTAAAGAATTTAAAATATTCTACATATTACTCAAAATTTCATTTTGAAAAAAAAACAAAAAAAACGGTTTTTTTTCTAGGTTTTTTTTCATGTTTTTTTTCTCATCTGAAAAAAAACCGTTTTTTTACATCTCTACCTGTGAGAATATTAGCTCTTATTTTTAATATCTTAATGCTCCGCATCGCACTTTTCGATTTTCCATTTATTCTTATAAGAATAACATGGGAAAATTTGTTTTGTTCCTTCTGATTTTTGTAATCCACCAACCAAAGGTCATATAGAAAATGTTTGGTAATTTTATAGAGGATTAATTGGTTAAAAAGTTATTAAAGATCTAAGTTCAACTCGTCACTAATTTTGCCGATTTTTCGGTATTGCAGCGGAACTACCTAATCAGTTTTATCAAAAAATTGAGCACGAAATTTTATGAGGAACAAAAATTTGACATTACAAGAGTCGTTCACCAATATATTTTTTTTCATTTACAAATAATATCATAATATATTTTTTCAATTTCATTTTTATTATGAAAACATACTGTTGTAAGTTACGCAATTTTTTTATTATTTTATCTATAAACAAAAAATTAAAAAAATATTATTATAATATTATCTTAGTAAAGTGTCCTATTTACGTTTTTAAATGAAAAAAAAATATCGGTTAACGACTCTTGTAATGTCAAAATACTGTTCCGCATGAAATTTCGTGCTCAATTTTTTGATAAAACTGACTAGTTCCGCTGCAATACCAAAAAGCCTGCAATACCAAAAAATCGGAAGAATTGTGGGTAAAACTTTGATCTTTAATAACTTTTTAACCAATTTGTTTGTCAAAAAATTATAATAAACCTTTTTTGTAGAGCGTTTAATTCTCTACAAAAATATTTAAATTTTTTGTATGACCTTTGGTTGGTGAGTTAAAAAAATTAGAAGAAACAAAAACAATTTTTCCCATGTTATTCTTCTGGAAAATCGAAAAGTGCGATGCGGAGCATTAGGATATTAAAATTAAGAGCTCATATTTTCACAGGCTCATTTTTATACTTAAGGGAAACTTTTGTGGCTATTTGCAACACCGTAATTATTACCGAAAACTACCATTCGTAAAAACTAAAATCCACCATTTTTTTCGACTCACCACAAGCTATCGAAGTGCATCTGGCCAAAGCCGGGCTGCTTCCTCGTCTCCCAGTACTTGCCGTTGTACTCCCACACCTCGTCGCGTTGCGAGGAGAACCAGCGCGGCTCGTAGGGGATGCCGAGCTCTTCGCGCCGCTTACGCCGCTCGCGCTGCGAACCTTCCAGCTGCAGCTTCAGCGTCTCGGCGGTGTTGAGGTCGCCCTCCTCGAGGGCGCGCTGGTCCGGTCGGAAACGCGTGTCCGTGGGCGGGAGCAGGTTGGCCTCGGGGCCGAGCTCGTTCAGTTCGATGGCGAATCTACCAAAAAAAGGTTTTGACATTGTAAATCTCATCGCTCGAAAACCCCAATTATTGCACCGAAAGGCGCTATCGTTGCTAGTTACCATCACAACCATACGGTTCTAGGCACTTTTTACGTTGCTATTCCCATAGCTACGACGAGTTTTCTCTCGTTTATGTCAGTTATGTTTATTTCACATAGGACATTTTAAATGCCGTTTTTTGAAATTAATAAATATTAATTAGCAATTGTTTAGCAAACTTGATTAAAAACTGACTTGGTTAAAAAATTACTGGGAAAAAGTAGAAGCAGAAATGATTATTTTCCGAATTAAAAAAAATATTAACACAGTTGATTTTTTCTCTAACTTTACTGAAACTTAAACTCCAAATTGAACTTAACAGTCAGTTGGCTGCAAATCGAGGTTGAACATTCAAACATTTTAACAATAAAACATATATGAAAAAAAAACCAATAAAAAATATCCAAAAATTCATAAAAATGGTAAAAATAAAGAAATCCCTTCTTTAAATTTGTTTTAGAAAATATTAGAGTCGAAAACGAGGAATGATTTTCCAAAAATATTCATGAGCGAGAAAAAATTTCAAGAATTAATTAAACCTCGCGCGGTATTCGGTAATTCCACATCAAATTTAGTTTAAAATAGAATTATTTTTTTGACTTAAAAATTCCTTTTTTCTACTTATTGTAGTTGCACGGAAATACCATTTTAAGACTGGGCCAAAAAAATCAACTATTTTTTTTTGTGAAGTATATCGAAAATATTGTTTGGGGTGACAAAAAAAATTATGGTGAAAGTTTGAGTCCATAATATTAATATTAAGAGGTCTATCATCGCAATTTTAGATGAGGTGATGAGTGAGGTTTTGTCTCAGAACTCCCAAACCATTGAGTTTAACAAATTTGACGTCGGAATATTTTTTGAAGAAAATTTAATGCTCTACAAAAAAGGTTTGATTGGAATTTCCCGTCAGATGAACCTTTTTCTTACAATCATGCCTTAAAAATTTGTATAGTTTTACAATTAGATCTTTTAACTTTGGAATTTTGTAATTCATGTAAAGATTAGATCCCGAAAAAAAAAACGATAAATATTCTTATGGGAAATCAAATGCTCTACAAAAAAAGTCTTTTATCATTTTTGGCTAAATTCACTCCATCAAAAGTTATTCAAGGTTAAATTTGAAGTCAAAACCAAATTTTAACCTTGAATAACTTTTGATTGAGTGAATTTAGCCAAAAATGTTGAGAGGCTTTTTTTGTAAGGCATTTGATTTCCCATAAAAATATTTATCGGTTTTTTATGGGTACTGATTTTTACATGAATTACAAAATTCCAATTTAAAAGATCAAAATGTAAAACTATAACAATTTTTAAGGCATGATTTTAAGGAAAATTTCACTTTAACCTTTTTTGTGGAGCATTTAATTTTCTTAAAAAAAATATTTTCAAGTCAATTTTGTTAAACTCAATGGTTTGCGAGTTCTGAGACAAAAACTTGCTGAGGAAAAAAAAATAAATTTGCGATGATAGACCTCTTAATATTAATATTATGGACTCAAACTTTCACAATAATTTTTTTTTGTCACCCCAAACCATATTTTCGATATACTTTTCAAAAAAAAAAATACTTGATTTTTTTGGCCCAGTCTACTAAACATAGTACATTCTTAAATTTTACATAAACTTACAAGTGGTACTACAAGTGGTAGAAAATGTATCAAAATTAAATAAATAAAGAAATTAAAATTAATATTGTAAAAAAAAATTATTGTGATTATGTCAAAAAAATCCCATGCAGCGAAAAAAAATTCCACAAAAATACATGGGTTGCATGGTGACCCGTCAAAAAAATGATTGGTTAAAAAGTACTGGTGTGGAATTTTCTAGAAAATTAAAAATAATATAACAAATTATTATGAATCATAACATATTTTGTAAAAAAATTATTCCCTTTTGTGCACAATATCGTATTCCCAAAATTAGACGTAAGACAAAGAATCCATCCACTATTGCTCATTTTTTGGACTAAACTGGGAAATAACGACAATTTTCGATAAATTGGCATATAATCGTAGTAAGCCGCGATATTCACAAAATCTCGAAAACGTTTTACCTTACTAATATTAGGGAGGGGTATTACGACTATCAAACTCAACTGCCTCATAAATGGGAATAACTTGAAATTTCGGAAAAAATACATCTCTTCGTTTAACACCCTGTAGTATAATGCTATGTGCAAAATATCGTATTCCCAAAATTAGACATAAGAGTCAAAGAGTCAGCTATTCAGAATTTCCAAAGATTTTCAAAATCGATTCAGTAATTTTCCAATAACGAGCTTTCAAATATTTTCCAAAAAACTAGGTGCGTCGATTTTTATGACGAGCAGTTTATATATAAATTAGGGTTGTTAAGATTTAAATCGCTGATTTAAATCACAAAATTACGTACTGTAATAAGGATAAAATGAAAAAAAAAAAACGTTCAACTAATTCATGGAAAATTTAAATTTAATGAAAAAATTGCATGTCAGAGCGGCACCATTTAATAAACCGCTTCTTTCTAAAGAGGTCTTGCCAAAAAAAAGATGTAATCATTTGGAGGTCTGCACTTTATAATTTAACAAGTTGTTCCTACACCTAACCCGCACAAGCCATTCAGTTGGGTTCTGGGCTTCTTAGGAAGTAAGGGTGAAACAGCACTTTTATATTAGACAAATATATAATATAACTGCTTACTGCAATCGCATCTTCGGCAGGGGTCCTTTAATCTTGTGCATAGCAAAATACAAAACAAATTGGAGACAGAAAAGTCAGCAAAACTAAGGTTTTTGTTAAAGTATTTTAATATTCAATAATAATGATAATAATAATAATATTAATTTTATAGAGAAAATGTGGTATATTTTGTTGTATACAATAGTTGCATTCAATAGTTGTATACTATAGTTTTATAAAAAATTACGAAATTTATATCATTAGAAATTTTATTTCAAATAATATTTGTTTGTTAGTTTAAGTTTTGTACTAAGAGAAATTTGGAGAAGTTTATACTTTATGTTGGTTTATTTAAATACAAAATAAATATTTTTTGTCTGTTGTTAAATTTATGTTTAAAAAAAGGTTAAATTATACACTTATTAAGTACAAAGTCTATGTGGACCCATTACAAATTAGGTTAACATGTAATTCTTATTAATACAAGAAAGTCTACTAAAAATCCAATTTAAATAAAACAAATTTGATTTTTTTTAAATTTAAAAAAATAACCTTGATAAAATAATTCTTAATAAGAAAACAAACTAAAAAATGCAATCCGAATTAAATAAAAAAATCAGGTTTTTTTTTAATCCAAAAAAAAACCGCCCTGATGAAAATATATAAATATAAATTTAAAAAATCAAGATATTCTTAATAAAAATAAAAAAGTAAATGCAAAAATAAAGAAAATAAAAAATAGTTTATTTTGTAAATTAAAAATAATACAAAAATCATTATTATTTTAAAAATCATGGATTTATATAAATAAATGTAATAATTAGTAATTATTATAATAATTTCAACGTAACAAAAATTATTTACCTACGCGATTTATTTTGTTAACTACCTAATTATATATTCTCCATAGTGTACTTTTGGTGCATTAACAAATAAAACAAGTTTTTAAAGTCAAATTTAGAAAAAATTAAATTTACCTCGTAAAACCGTAAAAACGCTCGTGATTGGGAGGCAAATTCCCGGCCCTCCATATACAACGAGCAGAAGGTGCCACACCGCAATAAATTGCCTCTGACCACTTGCCAAACAATCTCCTCACTGGCCTGTCATATTCGTCAAAAACAGCACCCACAACCTAAAAGAAAGAGAAAAAGTAAACTTTATTTCTTAATTTAAATACCTTAAAAACTATAACTCGTACCTCGTGTCTTTTGGCAGACCAATAACTAGCCTTATTAAAAGTGAGCTTGCACTTAATCCTCCCGTTGCTGATTTTTAACTCTCCATACTGATCGACCCACCGTTGGCCGCTGAACAGGTTGTGCACGCACGTGGTCACCTTGTTCCAAGTGTACAAATCGCCGGTTTTCGGTATCAACACGTGCACGCTGCCCAGCGGCTGAAATTCCATGCTTTTGCCCCAAAATTTCGTTTTAACTCGCGCGTCCTGCCAGAAGGTGAAGTTGGGGGATTCCGCGTAGCACGCCGACACTGGCGGGTGGTGGGACACTTGCTCCGCAAGAAATCTGCATAGAATGATTTTTTTATTTTATTGTAAATGCCACTAAAAACCTAATAAGTCAATTCTGGGTAAAATTTCTGTAAATTCGTAAATCTATAGCATACGATGATCTGTAACCGTAATGCTTATAGAATCGTAAAAGTGACAATTCTGGGATGTTATCTGTAAAATTCTAATTTCAAGCGGTATAAACTAAGGCTGGGAATATTTTTGTTTTAGAAATTCGAATACTCGTTTGAAAATAATTTTGAATTATCGAATTATTTGAGTATTGGAATATTCGGGTATTCGAATATTCGTGTACCTACTCGTATATTCGAATATCGAGTACCTATTGGAATATTCAAATAATGGAAATGTTAAATATTCTAATATTAAAATATTTACCAGGTCCAGTGAATTTTAACCAGTTTTACAGACTTTTGAGCCAATCTAGGAATTTAATAAAAACATCTTATAATATTTAATATTGTATCTGTCCTTATCAAACAGATTATAATAATAATAATTATTATAAAAAGTTATTATTAAATCTCTAGGCTATACTTTTCTCCGCAAAAAAAACGATTTTTTCCTATGAAATAATATTAGTTTATCATGCTTTAAAATCCCTCTTCAAAAATCAGCTCAATTGATTAAAAAAAAATTAATGGTCGAACAATAATTCTGAAAATTCAAAAAAAGTTTTTTTGCACCACCCTTACATATACTGATTTAAAGTGTTTTAATATTCGAGTATTTGAATGTTCGAGTATTCGAATAACTTAAAATCGATTTCCACCTCTATTTGAATACTCAATATCCGAATTTTTCGTAATCGATTCCCAGCCTTAGTATAAACGAACTACTGCAACTTCACGCCTATTTACTTACGATCAAACATATAGTAAATTTAAAAGAAAACGACGCACACGTCATCGATGACGTAATAAATTTGCGCACTGGTACCAACACTAAATGTATAAAACGAAGTCTGTAATTGGATATTTTAATGCATTTTAACCAAATTAAGTTGGCAGGAATTGCAATGTTGGCATGTTTAGATTAAAATTCCGCTTAATAAAATGACGCATAGAAAAAGAAATTGACGTTTTAGAATTTCGAAGCTGTCGCTTGTGTTTTTAAATATTTCGTTTAATTCGTGTATAATTTCGTTTATTTTGTTTGTTGTTTGTGTTATTTTATATCGTTATAAGTTTTCATTGCCGTTTTTGTGTTTGTTATATATCGTTTTTCCTATAAATAAAGCCGAAGTATTTAAATAGTCTGACTCAAGAGTTGGTATCATCCTTAATAGCTGTTAGAGAGGTAAATAGGATTATTATTAATTATATATTAGAATATTTAACAGAATATATGTTGGATACATAAAATAAGAATATATATACCAGAGACTGACTTTAGATGGCAAAATTTCTGAGTTTTATAGCTGAAAATGTCTTTAAAAATGGCTGAAACATACTTTTGGCGGTGCATAATATTATAATAACCATAGCATAGAAAAACCATAGATAATAAATAATAACTCTGACTTTTGACATTTTGGTATTATTTATATAATCGCCATCTATCGCCCTGTAGTTGCACTACCACTTTCACTTAATGCAAGGATTTTAGCATCACATTGACAACCATGCCCGATCAGCTGATTGATGACGTGTACGTAGTTTACTTTTAAATTTACTATAAACAATATTTTTATATGTGGATAGCGTTTATTGAAAAGGAACCAAACCTTTTGAGAAAAGTTCCAAACAATGATCAACCTTTTGAGCATTATTAAAAATGAGTTATTCCATAAATAATTTTAAAAGTTTTTGGCGCTTGGTTCCTTTTGGATAAGCGTTATCCATTTATTCTTTTGTTTATCAGTTTATCAATGGTGTACCAGCATATAATATAATTGTTATTATTATTTTAATGTGCTTTCAACAGGCACCAGACCCAATTACAGGAGTACACACTGACACACACAAATAAACAGCCATCTAACCCACGACCTCTCGGTTTGTAGTCCGCAGTGCGGTTAATATAAAAAGTAAGAAATATAAATTAGTTGAGGAATAAAATGGGTAAGATAATTTTACATTTAAAAGAACATATAATATATAATAAATAAATTTTTAATGGTAACGCAAAAGCAACAAAGAGAAAAAGAACAAAGACACCACAGTTGAAACTACATTTGGAGGCAATAGGAGATTATGCATTGGGCCAAACTTTTATCAGGTTTGGCAGAAAACTTAATAAATTTAAACAAGGAGCAGAAAATCAAAAAAAAATGTTGAGCTTTTTAAAAACTATTCAAAAAATTATATAAAGCTGAAAGAAGAACTATTAAGATTTGAAATTAAAAAATTAAAATTTTTAAATCCAAATTTTGATATTTGACCTATAAATTTTTGACTAATTAGAATATTTATTTATTTTGTTATTTCTTTTTTGGCAGCAGTTAATATTTTTAAATATTATATTTTATTTTATTTTCATATGTTAAATAAAAAATGGAAAGTTTTTGTATTGTTTTATTTAGTCAAAATTAAAATTATTTCCAATGTAGTTGGCCCAGGCTGCTTGTCCCAATTCATAAATATTACCATAATCATTAACATTATTAAAAATAGTCATGTTTTTAAAATAGCTTGACACAACCTAATAAAAATAAACTGTAACTAGCGACGATTGACAAACACCTGATCGTAAATATTTACGATTCTATAACATTTTCAGAAATGCAAATTGTCTATAAGCTTATAGAAAGTTATAGATTTGCTTTTGACCTACAAATCTTATTTCTCACCTGAATCCTTTATCCTCCCTGATACATTCGTACGTCTCGCCGAGCAGCGGATTAAAGGGTTTGTTCCCAGCCCTACTCAACGTACTGCCGTAGCTGGAAACGGCGAACGCAGCCACCTCCACCATCCTCTCGTACGGATCGTCGATTTGAGACGCTCTATCCAACAGCTCGGAGTACTCGAGCTCCTCGCACAACCTCTGCAAAACGTTAAGGGGCTCGTTGAGCGCCACCGGCATGCTGATCTGAGAAAGGTCCTTGCCGATGTTGCGGCTGAGGAGGTTCCACAGAGAGAGGCCTTCGGTTATGGGGCGAGGCGCTGGCAACACCGTGCGCCGGCCTGTCAGACCTTGGTTGCCTGAATAGAAGAAGTCATTTTTATCATTTCTTGCTTAGTTTTTGTTGATTTTTATGGTACAGGTTGAAGCCTAAAAGTAGTATTTTTTTTAAATGGCGAGTAATCGGCCATTAGGCAAGGAGGGGTCATGTGGAAGTTTTACTTTAACCCTTGGTTTATAGCTTTTAACTAAAAGAATACAGGGTTGACAGGTGTGGCGAATAATCGCCAAAATGGCGCTTTTTACTGATCGCAAAGCGCCAAAAATTGAGCTTTGGCGCCGGCGCCAAAAAGTGTCATTTTCTGATTGCGGCTATTATAATTTGAATCTCTTCATTAAATTTTAAATTACTTTTATTTGCAATATTGCATTTCCAAGGATTTTTCAAAATCCGTAGTAACTTTAATAGATTTTCCACTAAATATTTTGGTTGTAGAACGAATGTTTAGTGTAATGAATATAGTAAAAACTAAATTGAAAAATAGGATGCAAACAGAGTTTTCTTTAACAACAATAAAATCTACATTTTATAATAAACAGCCCAGTAAGCACCAAACAGTCGGCCTTCGCTCGGCATAGGCGGTTCGGCTTGCCCCAGCCGGCCCGCGTTATGATACCCCGGTACCGTTTAGCCATGTTCTAGCCGAAGCAATACGGCCTGCCGCGGCAAAAGCGATACATCTCACGGCTGCTTACGCACGCGAGCTAACTATACATAGCGATTGGTTGCAATATTTAGTTGGAAGTGTGCGTCCGTAACAGGGACCCGGACCGAAACCGAAAAAAACCGAAAACCGGAACGGAACCGGTTTTTTTTTTCCGAACCGAAACCCGAACCGGAACCGTTTTCGCTTTTGATAAAATCTGTTGGACCGGAACCGAAACCTTTATTTGCTTTCATTCTAATAACATTATATAACATATGTATATATATATATATATATGTGAGGTTATAGATTAAAATTACGTAAAACAAATAACCTCACTGGAACCGCTTAAAACCGAAAAGAACCGAACCGTTATAACTCCACGAAACCGGAATCGGAACCATTAAAACGAAAATAGGGTGAACCAAAACCGTACCGGAACCGATATTTCATTTCGGTCCGGGTCCCTGGACTCCGGACTCCGTAATGGCATAGCTGAACATTAATTGTTTGGAATCCCCATCTCAATCCTCATCTGCTCAGTAACGAATAATGTCTAGCTAGTCGAGTGTGTTAAAGAAGTATCTTGCCATTCAGAGAATTTCAGGACTGAACTGATAGAAAATATCTCTCCAGGACATGTGTAGGCTTTTTTGAATGGCCAGGCGGTTGTGGCCGGCACTCGGCAAACTATACACAGCCGACACTCGGCCGAGTAAATATAGCCGACATTCGGCCAGGCGGATATCCCCGACAGTGGCCAGGCGGACATGCCCGTTCTACACGCCGGAAGAAATACGCGTGTCGGGCCGCACGCGGCCGATTCGGCAAAACGTATTCGGGCCGTATGCGGGCCGGCTAGCTTGTGCTTACTGGGAGATATGTTGCACAAAGTTTAAACCTACTCAGTCAATGTTTCAAAAATTTAGTAATACAATTTATAATATCAAAAAGTGAAACAAAGCCAAAATTATGAAATTTATCAATTAGTAGGCGAAGATTATAATATAACTTGTATTAGCATTTCATAATATTTTAATTTTCAACAGTATTTGTTATGTACAAAAAAGTGATATTTATGTTTTAACTTCTTTAAGATTTTTGTTTTAAAAAATATTAGAGAAGTTGGAAAAATCCTTGAGTTTTTTATGATCTCAACATTTTTTTTTATCTCTAATTAGTTTTTTACAGTACTTACTATTACGTAATATATAAAGATAAAAAACATAATGTAGGATAAAGACAATATAAATAATATTATTAATATTATATTAAAATAAAAATATAATATTAAATTAATATTTTATTTTTATTTTAACATAATATTATTAATATTGTCTTTATTTAATATTGTTAATAATATTGTATTAAAATTTTTAAATAGAAAATAAAAATATTTTATATAGAATATAAAAATATTTTACTCTTTATTTATTTTTTTGAATTTAATGTTTATTTTTTATTAAAAAATGTTTAATAAAATTTTATTAAGTGTTATTTCTTTCTTTTTAAAACTGCACCATACACTGGGTTTTTGTCCGGAGTGCCGCAGAATTTTATAAAATGAAAAAAAAAATCATGTTTTTCTAAACTATGAATTCTATTTTTTTCCAAACTATAAATTATAGGTTATAGTGAAGAAAAACAATTTTTAATATAATATAATTTTAAGATGAGGGTTGAATCACTGACAACATTTGGCGCCAGGTGGCGCTTTTTAACGAAGTGTTTGGCGCTTTCAAGATTTACAACCTGGCAACCCTGCGCGAATAGGATCTTTAGAAGTTTTGTTCTAAATTATGAGTCAGTCCAACAAATATTATTCTAGCAATTGGAGCAAAAATTACAGTTTTTATGATTATTTGTACAATGAATACTAAGATTTGGGAATAATTATTAAAAAATTCTTAGATTAGCATAATAATATTTATTAATAATATTAATTATTATACGCTAAAGAAGCATCGCTAGTAGCGCCACAACGTGGCCGTTATAATCGTAACCAGAATTCAGCTTTTAAAAGGCAGCTGTCAAACGCGTATGTTACAAACGAGTGTTTTGGAGAATAAAGCCGGAAAATTTTAAAAATAAGTAAAAAACCGTGGCACGATTTGTTTTTTCGAGAGGAAAACCTGGGTTGAGTTTTTACCGGTTTCCCAATAAACAGAGGAAATCCGAATGAAGAAATAAATTGCATAAAGTGCCTGTAAATATAAATTGTACCTATTAGATACAATAAATACACATTTTAATAATGATTTACGTGAAAATTGTAAACATTTTTAATTCAGTAAAAATAATAAAAGAAAGAAGTCGTCTAAATTCAAACAGCATTTAGCATCATTAAAAGCGTTGATTAAGAAAGTCTCCACTCAATAGTAAAATAACAAGAACCGGTATTATATTCTGTATAATATTATGTTGCCATGAATTTGTAGGTATATTTTGTAGTGTAAAATGCAGTTTTCTGCGTTTTTTTAGAGGACACAAATATAAAAATATTCGATTTTAAGGTTATGTTTGTACAACAATTATTTTTTAGTTATCATAAGTTAATTCTGCACCAACAAATATACGTAACGATACGTTCTTAAATTTTATTTACAATTAAAAACACAATAATTCAAAATGATCACTTGAATAAAATACACACACTAACGTAACTATTTAAGCGTATATGCGTTGAGTTTATTAATCAATGATAATAGAAATAATAAATCGAAATGCAGTACTAAACCAAAGTATTTTAGTTTTTACTTGCAACGCGAACCCGAAATAACGTGCGCGATTTAGCTGTGCAATGAAACAAAATTTGTCGAGTAATAGTTTTGCCTTCCTCTCTTTTGACGTGCTTTTTCGTATGCTTTAAATGTATTGATGACAATTCTTGAATTCACACAATATTATGTGCTATCGAAGTTCGATTAAATCGAACACCACCAGATGGCGCGCGCGTGGCGAAATCCCGTTGCCCATTTCTTCTTCTTCCTTGGTGGCCTAAGGCCTTAATGGTCTCGGTTTCAATGAACCACTTTGACCAGCAACAAGTTTTAATGTCCATGTGCTTCACGAAGCCATCCACCCATAGACATGTGGATTTTCCAAATCTTGGATCATCCACTCCATGTGTTGTACAATTCACAAAATACCTCGCTAGAAGGTCAAAGCTTGCGATATTGTCCAAAAATACAGGTATATTTCTATACCCGGAATTCCATTTTGTCCCTCCTGGGTCAAAGTCAGCTATGTTTCAGACTTTTCATCGAGCAATGACCCAGAGATGAAAGTACGATGCACCACACACGAAAGACAAAATCGAACTTGCCCATTTAGCGTATTATTTTCATATACTATACTGGTAAGTATATGATTATTTTAACTGTTTGTTTATTGTCATTTGGGACATTTGAACTAATTTTATTAAATCGACGTAATATGTTATTAAACGTTCAAAACACTAAGTAGTTCGAATGTCTCCGTGAAATTTATTTTGGGTCATATACGAGGTGTGTTCAGAAAATAACGGGAATTTTTAAATTTCGCGGGTTTGGAGAGTCCGGTTGTCATAAAATTGTCTTTATTATGTTGGTATACATACCCCTGAAGAATAATACAATTTATATATGTTTTCATTGTTTACTTTGTCTGTGGCAGCCGCTAAGGTTAGACGTGTTTTATGAGCTCGGCGATTTTCGTTCGTTAAAAGAAATGGGATCAAAGAATTTGTATCAAATTTTGCGTAAAAAATGAAATAAAGTATGTGAAATGTTAAGAAAGGCCTATGGTGAGTCTGCTATGAGTAAAACAAGAGTTTATAAGTGACATATGAGTTTCCAAGATGGCCGTAAAGACGTTGAAGATGACGAACGCCCCGGACGCTCAAGCACATTAACAACCGATAAAAACATGGAGAAAGTGGAAGAAATGGTTATGAACGATCACTGAATCACAATCACAGAGAAGTCGCTGATGATGTTGCAGCAAAATTGTTGAATTTTAAACACAATTTTTTGCCAAAAACAATACTGTAATGATGTCTCAGCCTACATATTCGCCAGACATGGCTCCGTCTGATTTTTTCCTATTCCGCAAAATAAAGAGAACCTTAAAGGGCCGTCGTTTTGCAAGCATAAATGACATTAAAGGCGCATCGCTGAAAGAACTAAAGACTATCCCAAAGATCATGTTTGAGAAGAGTTTAGAGGATTAGAAGAAGGGCTGGAACAAGTGCATAATATGTAATGGGGACTATTTTGAAGGCGACAACTTTAATGTAGACGAATAAATCAATATTTAAAAAAAAACGAACATTCCCGTTACTTTCTGAACACACCTCGTATAGTTTTCCCGGCGAATGTTTCAAATTGCGTCATCAAATTCTGAACCAAGCACAGACATTACCATTATTGTTGTTTTCTTTTACGTATATAATCTAAGAAACCGCTATGTTAACCGTATGTCGAGAAATCGGTTTTTGACATTCGACATTGATGACGCAATTTGAAACATTCGCCGCGACGACTATACCCAAATGACGTAAAATGTCATAAAACGTCAAAAACTAAGTAGTTCAAACGTCAACTACTCATAAAACCTATTTACTGTTTGTCGATTTCTTATAGTATAATTTCAAAAATAAAAAAAGTATAATATACTATAAATTTGGGTGATTTAATTGTAATGGAATCATAATCATACAAACAATCAAGCCTAAAACAACGAGTTTAAGAAAATGCTAATAAAAAACATCTAAAATATAATAATAATAGGAGATATTTAAAAATGCAGCATAAAAAACGTTACAAAAGATAATTTTCCAAAAAAAAACCAAACCAAATACAGAATCAATATTTCTCTGAAAAAAACTTAAGAAATAGAAAAATATATGTAAGTAGCACAAAAACGTTGGCATATACAAAAAAATTTAAAAATCTACTTACATTTTTTATGTCACTTTTTGTGTAATAAAAAGCAACAAGGGCTATGATAAATAAAAATCCCTCACAATTGACAATAAAACAATAACCATCATCCAATGAACAATTGTTTATTTTTGCAGTTAAATAGGTACATTTTAAATTAAATAAAATCCTTATAAATTAACAAGCAGCTGCAAAAAAAAATGAACATCAAAGTTGTGACTTTGACAAAAAATATTTGTATGCCAAATTATGAAAAACGCAAATTAGAGTAAATTAATATTTTTTAAACTCACCAAACTCCAAATTGCTAGCCGGTATCAGCTCCGCCCCTAGCTCCGACTCCGAACTAATGCTACCTTCTCCGCTGCTCAAAGAGCCCGCCTCCGAACTGCTCTCCGATCTCGTTCTAACCTCACTTTCCTCATCGCCCTGCTTCTCCTTCTCCCCGGACCGGTGGCGGTGGTAGCGGCGGCCGCCCCTTAAGCTACCCTCGCCGTTACTGCCGCCGTTGCCAGCACCACCGCCCCCAACTGTCCCCTTGTCCGTCGGCAGATCCTCGGCGTCGAAAAATTCGGTCGCACTTACGCACGACGAGCTGTAGCTCAGCGAGGCGTTGTAGGCCCGGTGCTGCTGAAAAATGCAGTCATTTTTAACAGGGAAGTCCATTTTTGGACATAGTCTAAGATCCCAAGTAAGGTCGACCTTCGCCCATCTGCTTACCAGATGAAAATTATATTTTATCAAATAAAATATGTTTCTGAACATAAACCAATAGGGTTGCCATAAAAAATATGATCATGGCTATAATAAATAAAAAAATTAAAAAATAATTTATTTTTTAAATTTCACCGACTTGCTTGCCAAATGAACGAAATTCCAATGGAAAGCATACATCATACAGAATATGTAACAGCTAGGTTGCCTACCTTTTTCTGGTCCCTATTACCTGGTTGATTTGTACAGGGTGATCCCCTATAATGTCGCCCCCCTTTAACTTTTTTATTTTAAGTGTCCCAAAAAATTTAAAAGTGTGGTTATGTAGGAACTAAAAAATACTTTTTTTCTACGTATAAAGAAAATTGGAAAATTGATCAGTATACAGGAAAAACAAAAAGTTTATTTTTTTCAATGGATCACCCTATATATGAATTTATTTTTCGATTCCTTGTAAAATTCTAAGCATATTTCATATATCATACCATATACCTAAATTCAACCGTTTCTGAAATATTTAAATTATTTTTAAGATAATAAGTTGAAATAGTTTGTATTTCTCTGTCTGAGTACGCCATTTTTACTTATTTAACAACACTTATTGACATAATGTCACTATAGTAATTTATTTTCAATAAAAATTTTGGTATACTGAGGCTTCTTGATTTCCAACAGTTTAAAAAAACATTTAATGATGACATTTCGAATGCGAATATTTCAGAAACGGTTGAATTTAGGTATATGGTTTGTTATATAAATTATGCTTAGAATTTTACAAGGAATCGAAAAATAAATTCATATATACGGTGATCCATTGAAAAAAAATAAACTTTTTGTTTTTCCCTGTATACTGATCAATTTTCCAATTTTCTTTATACGTAGAAAAAAAGTATTTTTTAGTACCTACATAACCACACTTTTAAATTTTTTGGGACACTTAAAATAAAAAAGTTAAAGGGGGGCGACATTATAGGGGATCACCCTGTACAAAGCAACCGGGTAATAGGGACCAGAAAAAGGTAGGCAACCTAGCTGTTACATATTCTGTATGTTGTATGCTTTCCATTGGAATTTCGTTCATTTGGCAAGCAAGTCGGTGAAATTTAAAAAATAAATTATTTTTTTTAATTTTTTATTTATTATAGCTAGCCATGATCATATTTTTTATGGCAACCCTATTGGTTTATGTTCAGAAACATAATTTATTTAATAAAATATAATTTTCATCTGGTAAGCAGATGGGTGAAGGTCGACCTTACTTGGGATCCTCTACTAACATTTGAACTACTAGCGTTCAAATGATGTAGAATGCAGTGCAGTGCAATGCACAATCCACAAAACAAGGTCTCGTTTCGCGCATACTAAAAATCACTGCAACACTGCACAGAGTTTAACGGCGGCCATTTTTGTTGCTTACAATTCTTGTTCTTTGGGTTTGTGCTGTTTAATATTTGTTTTAAACGTTGTGTTTCTTCCAGAGGCACTTGTAAGCCTAAAAAGTGCCAAGGACAAAATTTTACTCCTCTTTTATAAAAATAAATCTTATTATCAGGGCTAATTTGTGTGTTATAAATTAACCTTAAAAATTGACATTTGACAGTTGATAACAGCACTGATATTGGTTGTGTTTCGTAATTTACTGTCAGTACTGAAAACGCATTCCGAAATCCACTTTCAGTTACTGACACAGTGGTCTGTGGTTACCAGGGTTGGGTCAGTAGAAAACCTTAGGTAAATTACCTTGGTAGAAAAGGGTAGAAAACTTGTTTTCGACTTGCGTCGAAAACCTATAGGGTTTTCTACCTACGTAAATTACCTTATTCGACCTTCTCCTTCCACTTCTCTATAATTGATAAAAATTTGCCCTCATGCCAAAAATTATGTTGGGGTCTCCCAACCAAACGTGGCCCTTTTTTTCCCACCATAATAATGTTAAAAAACTTCAAATAACTTCAAATTTATGGTAGGTGTCTGATTTTTCACAACATTTAACAAATCATAATTATGATTAATAAACAACAAACTTGCATAACCTCACATTTTTTGATATTTGACAGTATTCTACTTTTTTACGTTTTCTACCGTCGAAAACGTCGAAAAAGGTTTTCTACATGTCGAAAACAAAAATGTAGGTAGATACCCAACCCTGGTGGTTACTGAGCTCAGTGGTAAATACTACCCTTTTACAAATGTACGGCAGATTAATTTTACTGAAACAACTGGTGACAGAGAGGTGCTGTGGCTCCAGTAAAACACATAACCAAACTTTTAAACAAAAAATAGCTATCAAATAAAGTGAAGGAAATAAATTATATCATATAATGGTATTTGGTGAATACCTATAGAACTAATTATTTCAATATTTATTCATAAAATATTAATTGAAAGTACAAGCAGCAGTGACGAAGACGAAGAGTAATTTTTGGTATTTGGCGTATTGTTGTGGTGTCAGTGAAATTTTATATTTCCTATTCCTATATACATTTTTCGACGCGGACGACGATAACATTAAATTTTCCATATTTCTCTGCCATAAACCAAACATTATATTTCTTATAACTGTTATATTTATTTTTTATTTATGTTCTCTGCTGTTCTCTGCTGCTACTGAGGCGCGTTCCAATTTTACTATTGCGTCAGTACTGAATAAATTACGGAACGGTCTTTTTTCGCTACTGACAGTAAAAATACTGATAGTAATGGCAGTAAATTACGGAACACAACCAGTATAAGGTGTATTTTTTTACAAAAGAGGAGTAAAATGGTTGTCCTTAGCACTTTAAAGCCTCATTTGAGGATTACATTATGTCTTGGGGTATTTCCACGAAACCTTACCCCACCTTGACAAAAAATCAGATGTGTTATTTAACAAAATAAGAACTATATCTGAAGTCAAATAGTTTAATTGCGACGTTATTTAAAACCTTAAAGTATTCGTACATTGTGATGCTAAGAAGCTAACATTAAGAATAAACACGGAAGAGTTTTAATACTCGATAAAATGTTCAAATTTCGCACCCGTTACATTTTGAGAAAACTTTAGAAAATAAAGTAAACAATATTTGTGCATTTAAAATACGTGCTTGTTTAATTTTACAGTATCAACTTTAGAAGCCAACTCGGTCGCATTTGCCGATATTCTAAGGACGCGCCCGTTACGCTATTGATGACGTTATAAAAGGTTTTCTATACAAGTTTTCATTGACATTTTGTTTGAGTTAAATATCTAATTTTTTATACTATTTTGTATATTAACGTATCTTGATATATATAAAGAAACACTTTGTTATCATGAAAAACGCAGTTTTAGTGTCGCACCCGTTACAATGGAAATACCCCTTATGAGAAAAGCTTTCTTCCACCTCGTGTTAATGCACAGTCGGCCTGACGGCCTCGACCAACTTAAACACCCGCATGAAAAAGCTTTCAAACACGGCGTTCTCTACCCAGGCGGGAGTGTAGCCCCCACTCCTGCATCGAAACTGTGACGTCAGGAGGCCGATCTGATCAACGTCCGCCTATTGTATTACATTGCTTTGCAACCAAAGTTGTGGATTATTATTGCTTTTAAGGAGTATTTCTTACCAAAGCAGTGGACAATGCATAGTACATATTTTATCAAAGCAACAGAACAATATGTACTAAGTAATTTATTAAAAACAAACAGAGAACTGCTATTAAACTAGAAATTTATTTAAAACAAACAGAACTGCACACAAAAAATAATTCTTTAATTTTAAAATAACGATTTTTTTGGATTTTTATATTTAAAATAAGTATAGTCTAATTTTTATAATATAGAATATGAAATAATAATTTTGTTAAGTTTAATTTTATAAAAAAATTAGTTTAATTGATCTATTACTATTATGAATAATTACTCTAATTAAATTTTCTTGTATTTTAAATATAGAAATTATACTCTTTTAAATATTAAAGTTTACTTAAAATAAATTAATATAGGTATTCATTTAAAAAAACAAGTTTGCAACAAAACATAATAGATTTAATTTAAATAAAAAAGTAAACTTATATTTGATTTGAATTAAGAGTACCTACCTATAATATTTTTGTGTATATACTTTAAGTATAATACTTATAACCATAAAAATGTTGGTTATTTAATGTAAATAATTATTTTTTTGTGTATGCTCTTAAAATAGTAATTTATTTAAAACAAACATACAACATTGGATTAATTTATAAGCGCAATAGAATAATTTATATTGCGCTATAAATAATAAGATTAACCAGTCTTTTTGGATAATGTCAAAGGGCCATTTGAAGCATGAAAAAGGGGCAAATCATAAAACTGTCTTTATAAAAAATATTGTAGGTAATATAGTATTTTGGCAAACAATTGTTAAATATATTCTTCTTTTATTAGGCCGTACAATAAATAAAAGAAACCCAAGCAATACTTCTACAAAAGTAGAGATAATTTTAATAATTGATAGTCAACAAAAGAATTTTTCTGCTGAATAAAAAGGGGACGGCAAAACTGTTCAAAAAAACCTCAGGCCGGCTTTGACAATCAGTAATTCATATGAAACTGTCTTGCATTACCTCGATAATACATTAATTTTCCTGTTAGGAACGCAACATTTTCTTGGTATTTTTTATTTATTTATAATGTTATAAAAGCAGCAAACTAATGCAATAATTAAATTGACGTTAAATCAAGCGATATCGATGGAAAAGCAATAGATAATTTATATGAAACCGTCTTGTATTACTGCGGTTATACATTAATTTGCCATTGCAGTCGGCCTCCTGACGTCACGCCTCCCACTACCACACTCTCGCCTGGGATAGAGAACGCCGTGTTTCAAAGCTTTTCAACACTTGTAAAACAAATAACTATTTGTTAGGGTCATTAGATGACACATTCTCGCAAATGTTTTCATATTTTTAAATTCTCTAAGAAACCGGTTATTTTCACCAGGTTAACCGGAGCAAATTAAACAGGAATTTTTTTTATCGGTAAATCGAAAACCGTTTTTTTTCTAGAACCGCCCATCTCTAATTTTTAGTATGCGCGAAACGAGATAGAACAGACTTTGTTGTGCGGATTCTGGTAGGATGTAGAAAAGTCCACTTTCAACTATAGTTAATCGACGAAGAAATGTTGAAAAACGCTCAAAGTCCATTTTGCAACACTTAAACTACCATTTAAAACTGTTAGTAACACATAAATCGGCAAAATCAAACTGAAAAACTTACTAAACTCAAATATAAAAAACTGTCCAAAAAAGCAAAACCACGCTATAATTTTACAAAAACTGTATGAACTACTACTAATAAAATCGGTTGATATGCATTACACATAGCGTGTGTTGCTCTATCTTTATCTCTATTCCTCGATTTTTCCTTTTTATTCGCCTAAACCAAAATAACATTAACAACTACACATCAATTTTTTTTAAACTTACATTTTCCGTGAGGTGTTCCAATGAGGAGACATCGGCCAAATCGCTGGTCTCGTGTATCCTCAACAGCCGGCTTTTAAGTTCGGTGTTTTGCTGCAACACCTGATTAAGATTGTTCTTTAAATTGACTACGTTTTGATTCGAATTGCTAGGAACTTCAGAGTCCAAGGCCGTTTTTAGACGCTCCCTCTCCGTGCTCAGTCCGAACAGGAGCGTCTTCAGACTACTTAAGGCTAAAAAAACAGAATAGTTCATTTGAGACAAAAACTACTTTTGTTAAATCGAAGGAGTGTCATAAAAAGTCCAAAAATATCAAGTGGTTCAAAGCTCTCATTGTACTTGTACTTGCGTCATATGAACTACTCATGTCCAAACGACGTACAATGTCATAAAAGTGGGAGTCAAATGTCCAATTTCTTACCGTTTTTAGCCAAATTGACGAAATCGTCCCTCAACTGATTCTCAGTTGAGAGGGAAATAATATCCACGTTGCTCAAGCTGTCCGGTGCAGGTATGGTTGCGTTTGCAGGAACTGGCAACGTTGACGAATTAATTGAATTGAGCGGTTGAGGGGAGGTCGATAAACCAGAGAAAGAGTTTGCCTGAAAAATTTAATTTTGGTTGTTGATTGGTAAGCTAAAATGAACATACACCATGAGATACATGCGCTGAATGTAGAACTAAAAGCGTATATTCGGGGTAAAGGAAAAACTATTAAATCGTAAATTTTATTGTCGATAAAAATAAGTACAATACATTGAGTGACATGCAGTATTTAGGTCATACACTACTTAAAAACCAAAATAATGCATGCAAAGCACTACAAAAACTTGCATGAAAACAGAGACAAAAATGATTTTTGCCAGGCACACAAAATGATAAAAAAATAACAAAAACCACAGGTCAAAAGCACACATAGCAATACGGTAACAAAAGTTTGTTCATACCGATAACGGAGACGTGTTTTCAGTATCAGTACCCGTAGAAGACTTATTCGCGCTAAATTGTATAGTCAGATCTACGCTTCCGCCTTTTGAGGATTTTTTCTTTTTTAATCCGAATTTTCTTCGGTCTTTTTTAACGCACGGCGATTGAGCCTCGTTTGCGCTCTAAGGATATCAAATCCGATTTAATTTTCACAAATTTTATTGTATTATAAGACTTACCTCTGAAATAATAATGGTGCTAGCTTCGATTTGTTGCAACAAACGCGTCAATTTGGTAATATTTTGTTCTATAACGGTGGCATCGCGTTGATATTGCTCCAAAGAAGCCAGAGATTCCTGCAACCAGATACTAAGCCTTCCTGTAGCCCCTGGAGGCCCTTTTAGACCCCTGGTAAGGCTTCCATCCCTGCTGACCATCTCTGGAGTACGGGGAATGCCTAAAATGAGTCATTGTCAATTGGACATTTGAAATACTTGGTGCCGATCGAAAATGTTTTTTTCTACGACCACAATGTAAGTCATATTTCATAATGGCATCGTTGCTTTGAAAATAAATCTTTTCATTGGCAAGGCAAAACACGAATGTAAAGTGACATTTTTGTGTGAAAAGTGACAGGTCTGTGTGAAAAGAAATTGACAGCATCGTTTGACATTCGTTTTAAAATTTGTATTGTATTTGTATGTCTAATGTTAATGCACACTCGGCCTGACGGCCCCGTGAGCTTGAAGAAAGCTTTTCTCACAAGTGAAACACAATATTTTTTCTACGACCCTTCAATTTTTTATTTTATTTAATACAAAACAAAATAACATAAAAACGTGTTTGACAGCTGTTAAAATTACTTTAATCTTATTCTTTTAATTTTTACGCTGTGACTAGAGAAACGCTAACGTGCCGCGATTCGAAATGTTAAAGGCACGTTAGTTACGTCATGAATATTATACGTCAAAATTTTAAGATTTTAGGTTACGATAAAACTAAAACAAACCAACCAAACCAACCAACCCAACCCAACACTTTTTAACAAAGAAACAACAAATTTATGAAATAAAAAATGAAAAAATTTCGACAACTTCTGAGTATCGAAATATGAGCTATCTAGCTTGACATCAATTTTAAAACGCTCGGGAAACAAAAACGGATTATTATTATGACGTAACTAACGTGATTTCAAATCGCGGCACGTTAGCGTGCCTCTAGTCACAGCGTAATTTTTAAGGTATAAGTTACTTAAAATCAATAATCTCAATTTACGAGTAAATAAAGGCTCTAAAATTGGAATTTATTATACAAACTCAATTAAAAGCGTTCTAAATGATATTTAGACATACATATACAAATACAATACAAATTTTGAAACGAATGTCAAACGATTTATTTTCACACAGACCTGTCACTTTTCACACAGAAATGCCACTTTACATTCGTGTTTTGCCTTGCCAATGAAAATATTCATTTTCTAAGCAACGATGCCATTACGGAATGGGACTTTTACATAGTGGTCGTAAAAAAATAAATATTAAACGTTTAAAAACACCAAGTAGTTTAAATGCAACGTTCGCTTGGGACATTTAAACTACTTGGTGTCAATCGACTTCTTCTTCTTCTTCTTTCCTTGGTGGCCAAAGGCCTTAATGGTCTCGGTTTCAATGAACCACTTTGACCAGAAGCAAGTTTTAACGTCCATGCGTTTCACGAAGCCATCCACCCATAGACAATCTTGGAATATCCAATAAATCTTTTTTACAAATCACAAAATACCTCGCTAAAAGGTCAAAGCCTGCGATATTGTTCAAAAATACAGGTATATTTCTATACCCGGAATCCAATTTTGTCCATCCTGGGTCAAAGTCAGCTATGTTTCATACTTTTTCATCGAGCGATGGCCCAGAGCTGCGAATGCGATGCACTACACACGAAAGACAAAATCGAACAATCACTTAAAATTTTTCAAAACGTTTAAAACACCGAGTAGTCCTAATGTCCCACAATAGAGTAGCCGTGTTCATCGGGACATTTAAACTACTTGGTGTCAATAATTAAGACGGGATGGTACACACAAGTTCGGTTTTGCCTTTCGTGTTTGGTGCATCGCACTTACATCTCTGGGACATTGCTCGATGAAAAATAGCTGACTTTGACCTATATTTTTGAACAACATCGCAAGCTTTGACCTTCTAGCGAGGTATTTTGTGATTTGTACAATAAATTAAGTGGATGATCCAAGATTTGAAAAATTCACGTGTCTATGGGTGGATGGCTTCGTGAAGCGCATGGACATTAAAACTTGTTGCTGGTCAAAGTGGTTCATTGAAACCGAGACCATTAGCCACCAAGGAGGAAGAAAAAGGGATGGTACACAGTTCGATTTTGTCTTTCGTGTGTATCGCTCAATTAAAACTTGTTGCTGGTCAAAGTGGTTCATTGAAACCGAGACCATTAGCCACCAAGGAGGAAGAAAAAGGGATGGTACACAGTTCGATTTTGTCTTTCGTGTGTATCGCTCGATGAAAAAGTGTGAAAAATAGCTGACTTTAACCCAGGAGGGACAAAATTGGATTCCGGGAATAGAAATATTCTTGTATATTTAATCAATATCGCAAGCTTTGACCTTTTAGCGAGGTATTTTGTGATTTGTACACGACAATTAGTGGATGATTTGGGATTGGAAAATTCACATGTATGTGGGTGGATGGCTTCGTGAAGCGCATGGACGTTAAAACTTGTTTCTGGTCAAAATGGTACATTGAAACTGAGACCATTAAGGCTTTTTGCCACCAAGAAAAAAGAAGAAGGAATGGTACAAGTTTGTTTTTTATTAGTAATTTGACACATTTGATTATGTTGGTACTGTATAATAGGGTGACCGCAAAAAATCGATGTCGGAATTTTGTTCGTCTGGACCCCACAAAACGATTCCCCTTTCCAGATATTGAGATAGACGAAATTTGAGCTCGATTAAACGACGTTAACCCGTGCCGCTCGTCGCTCAAAGTTTGAAAAAATCCAAATTTTTGGTCAAAAAGCTGACATATGGAGCCATAACTCCAGAACGGTAAATAATAAAAACACGCTTAATATCTCAAAAGAAAGCTAATGTTGTTCTTCAAAATTTATATTCTATACATAATTGTTGTTATTTTAAGTCAAACAGAGTTACAACAGCCTTTGACCCCAAACACGTGCCCTGGCAGCATTAGGAGCCAGTTTGGGTGTATTCTAAGAGTTTTACGGGTTTTTACATAATGTGTCTCGGAATTAACATTTTTTATTAAAAACTATTATGGAACTTGATTTTCAAACAAAAAGAGCCTTTTGTTCAAATATAGTCAGACTAATAGTCAGGTAATTCCCATATATATAATAAAAGATTAAATTTAAACAAAAGGCTCTTTAAAATTATTTTTACTATTTGCTCCAAAAATTATTATTTAGTTTTACCTGTGTGTATTTTACTAAATAAAGGTAAAGGTTAAGTTTTAACAAAAAATCAGGTAGGTAATTATATTTAATTTATAAAATTATTTGCATTAATCATTTTATTAGGTATGAATTAGCAAAATATAAGACGGCCTATAGAGTGGTATGCTTATGTTTTACAGATAAAATGGCATCCACATCAGGTGTACAAAGCCGAACCAAGGATAAAATATTTCTTGTGGGCTATCCCATTCACCACATCACCGGTTGTAAACTACCCTCAAATCGTCAAGTTTTGTGTGTTTTATTTTATAATTTACGTGCTGTGAAAGAGAATCAGCAAAACTTGCCATTCGAGAAGTGTTTATTTTTTGGGAGAAAGCTCGAATTCCGACTAAACATGAGCAAGATGCAATTACTAAGCTGTAAAAACTTTACGCCGAGTGGAGAACTCTTCAAAAAGACCGGAAGAAAACACCGTTGAAAAGTTGGATGATCTCTTTGATATTGCTCAGCAAGATGCCTTGGCTCTGATGAAATCGGAAGAAGATAAGGCGTTTCTCGTGAAACAGAGGTAGAAGGGCCGCCCAGGTTCCATGACTTGAGTGGATATCAAGTTGTCTCGAGCTGAAGAAATCAAGGCGCAAAAGGAACTTGCAAAAATGAACCGACAAATCCAAGAAGGTATTTGAATGCAGAGTTGGTGGGATTATCTTTTTTTGATCCCACCATTACAGACGATGAAAAGTTGTTAATGGCTAATAAATTAGTCAGTAGCACTGATGAACCATCAGAGCATGCTAGGGTTGGTTGTAAATCCAAAAGTTAGAAAAGAAAAATTAAAAGAGGTAGTTGATGGAGGATTGGTAAATTTACTTACCAAAGAAACATTTACATTCTTTAACCGATTTAATATAAAAACAGATTTCCCAAGACAACATCCAAACACCTGACCTCAAAATAATGACTGAAGGATTGAAAATTGTCAAAACATTAAAGGTAGTTATTAACTACTAGTTAATGATATGGCTGAGCGTGGAGTTAAATTAATAACCGACTTTAACAACCTTCTGACTAAAGATGAAGGCCAAAAGCAATATGTCCTGCAAGTTGTAAGCAAATGCCGAGCATTATATCCTGACGTTTCAAAAACTACTTTAACAAAAGCTCTAGAATAGATTAGATAACTATGTAAAATCAACTCATGTAGTTACTACGTCTGTGTCTGTTTTGTATGTATTATACGTTTACCTAATTTTTAAATTTAAAAAAAAAATTAGATTTATCAGTATTACTTGTTTTTTTATTATACTTCTACTTTAAACTCAAAAATATACCAAAAAAAGCAAAATTTGTCACATAATAACAAAATATACGAAGTATGCTCCTAGTGGTACCAGGTCATGTTTTTGGGGCTAAAGGCTGTTGTAACTCGGTTTGACTTCAAATAACAACAATTATGTATAGATTACAAATTTTGAAGAATAAAATTAGCTTTCTTTTGAGATATTAAGCGTATTTTTATTATTTACCGTTCTGGAGTTATGGCTCCATATGTCAGCTTTTTGGCCAAAAATTTGGATTTTTTCAAACTTTGAGCGACGAACGTCGTTTAATCGAGCTCAAATTTTGGCTAACTCAATATCTGGAAAGGGGAATCGTTTTGTGGGGTCCAGACGAACAAAATTCTGACATTTTTTTCCACCCCCTATGAGTTGCGGTCACCCTACTGTATAACAATATACTTTAGTAATTTTAACGTTTAAAATTGGTACTCCTGTTCAATGCATTAATTTTATTCTGACATTTATCATTTAATTATAATTATAATAAACAAAGCCGAAGATAATAAAAAATTCTACACGAAAAAAAATTAAAAATAAAACAGAATTTTGATAAAATACCTAATTAATTTGTGCTGCATAAATACAATAAATTATTTTGTTTTACTAAATGCAGCCAATTATAAATTTTGGTCCCCTAAAATTTTCCAACTAAACCGCCAAACTTTTAACGTAATCTTCAGAAAAAAAAAAATTAATTTAAAAAATTATACACAATATCCCACACTAGAGACGCGGAGTCCATTTCTGGACATTTAAACTACTTTGTGTCGATCGACACAAATTTTAGAATACCCTAAACACAAAGTAGTTCAAATGTCCCGGATTTTAATTTTAGCAATGGACTTACTGTGGAGTCCATCTCCAGGACTAAAAAGAGCACCCACGTTGCTGCCGTAGGTCAGAATGTGCTGGCGATAGAGCCGGTGAGCGGTTAGTTGTTGCACCCAGCTGGTAAAGGCGTCGTCCGTTTTGGCCTTAAGATGGTAGATGAACTCTTCGGCGTCGATGTCAATTCGACGTCGTTTTACTTTCGTCGAAATGACTGAAAGGCCGATGTCCAAAGAGCCGTGGATTTTGCCTTTGTTGATTTCATTTGGGCCTTTGCCATAGACTAGGATGCCCTTGTCTATTGTAAAATATCGCTAAAATAGATTATTGGTTTTAATTATTAATATTCCCTGGATGATGGAAAGCATTAACAGAGCTTCCATATTTTATTTTAATTAATATATTTCCGCCCCCGAAAAAAACAATTTATGCGTGTCGTTACTAAAAGTCCGTTATTGTTCTAAATTATTTATAGAATGTCAACTTGCTAATTATTAATTTAGAGCAAGGAAATTGATTTATCGACGAATTTCGATAAGAACATTGTTTGCTGCAAAACAGATTTACGTTTATTTAAAAGTTCTTTATTTAATATATAGAAAAAACTGGAATGTAAAATTTAACATGGCAACAAATTTATAACTTAAAGGTGTTTTTCTGTACTTTTCACAATATATATTGAATTCTACGTAATTAATGATATTCAAATTATAGATTAAGTGCGTTAGACGTAAGGTTACAAAACTTTATGATGCAATAACATAAAAAATATAAAAAACCTTTTAGCAAGACCATTTAATTAAAAATAAAGCACAGGGTTCTTGCCAGGTGCAAATATTATGTCTCTAAAAATAGCAATAAAAATATACAAGCAATTTCTATGAGTAGCTTGTATCAAGTAAACCTATTGCATTTATAGTTTAATGTATTGGTTTTGAGTTACATAAGTGGCATTTACATAATGCTCAATATAAATTATGCATAATACTGTTGTTCTCGTTTTTTATTTATAACTTAAAAGGCCTTTTCAATAAATATTAATACCTATCCACTTTGTAAAGGAAATACGTCAAAATTGAATAAAATTAAATTAATTTCATGATAATTAACTTTTTAAATTAATTGTAGGTACCATTTATAAAAAAACACTTTATAATGGAAGTTAATGTAATTAACACATGTTTTTTGTAATTGTAGTGTTCTTTTTTATATAGTAAGACCTTGCAAATAACGTAAATTAAACGTTTTTGGTATTTTTTATATCAATTTAAAATTACATTTTATGGTTTTTGTTAGCTATACAATTAAATAGGTAATAATATAATTATTCTTAACAAACTTTCCTGTTTTAAAATTAGGTTGATAATATATTATTTATTTTATTATAATTTGTCCAGTACATTTGAATCCCATTTTGGGATGTTTCAACTACTCAAAACATTACCTTGTGCCAGCCCTTGAGGGGCCACTTTCGTTTTTTGTGCAAATACCCATTAAAAGGGTTTGGTTTGCTTTCAAATCTTTGCCCATCCTTTAAACCTTCCATAATTTCCCACTCGGAACCCCTGCGGATTTTCTTTTTCCTTTTATCGTTCTGTATGGTAGTCTGATTTTGCTCTGTTACGCTTTCGGCGCTTAGGCTGTTGGTTTCAACGCTGGCGTCGCTATCGCTCGCCGTCACTATGCTATTTACTACTTTCACTTTAATTTTGCTCAGTTGCGGACTTTTTTTAGCTTCATTTAGGTTGGCCATACTGCCAAGACAAGTCTGGAAAGAAAAGAAAATTGTATAGGTGGTAATTTAGAACATCCTTAAAATATGGAACTTCTCTATTATTGTATATATAAGCATGATAGAAAAATAGAAGAAAAGTAAAAAAAACATTTTTTATTTTAATACAGGATGTTTAACTTCCAAGATAATACTGTGAATGAACGTGCATTTTATTTTAATATGATAGTATATGTATGATAGGTACTGGCAAAATTATAAACAATAATTTAAGGTCATAATCACAATGTCAAAAAATACTTTTTCACCCAATAACCTCAAAAATATCTGTCATTTGGATGAAAGTTACCTGCCAAGTTTGACAAGAATATTTCAAGGTTATTGATCTAATTTTCATTCTAAAAAAATAAATAAGTAGGTAGCATTATTAAAATGCTAGCGCAAATATTTGCTATAATAAATCACATAAACTCTTTATCTAATTAGAAATTATAATAGTCCCCTTTTGAAACGCAAAATTATTAATAAAAAAAAGGATACGTTAATAAAAACATTTATAGTTAATTTAGCCAATTTAAATTTTACTTTGCTTAACCCTTCGTTAATGTGGTGGAAAAAAGTTACATCGTTAGTGTGGTGGGGTATGTCATACCCCAAACGGTTTTGTCCCTAAATTTTTGAAATTTGTAAATTTTGTTATATTTGTTATAAAAATATATTTATTGTTTACATATTTATCAAATAAAACCAAAAAAGGTCAAACACCAATATTTATTTTTAAAAATATTAAAATTATTAAAAATAACTGCATTTATACTTAAAAAAAAACATAGTGTGATATTCATGTAATTTAAAAAATATATATCTTATATTTAATTTTCAACTAAAAATATACCTCTAGAAAAAGAACAAACAAAACGAATAAAAAAAGTCTCAATATTTTTTTTTGAAAAATAAAAAAGTTATTAATCATTAAAGTGAGCGCATTTTGGGCACAAAAAAATTGAGTGATCCAAGCACTTTCTGAATTATCTTGAGACAAATCGTCATTTTCCGATGCATCGATAGCACTTTCTGAATTATCTGAGTTATCTTGAGACAAATCGTCATTTTCCGATTGAACATTTTCTGTTGATTGTTCAAAATCTGGAGGCAGTTCTTCTTCGTCAGATTCAGAATCTATAATTGGTTCTTTATCCGAAATTCCTCCGAATTCTTGCCATAATTTTTGCAGCCTCTCTTGCTCTTGTTCGTATGACATTTTGTTATTTATATCGCTAAATAAAATAATAAGTATGTCTTGTAAACTAAAAAGATATACGCGAATTACCTTTAAAACGTATTTACACAAAAAGTTACACGATTAGTGTGGTGGGGTATACCATGTCCCAACCAACTTTATCGAAATCTTACATTAAACTGAAAGTACATAAATAGTCGGTAATGTAGGTATTATCTTTGTTTATGTGTAATCTGTAGCTATTGGGCCGCAGAGGTCGTTAGTTTTCTTAATTTTAATTTTACAGTTGAAAACAATAGCACTGGGGTATGTCATACCCCAGTGGGGTAACCCCACCACACTAACGAAGGGTTAAGGAAAAATCATTGAAAACACACAAACAAGTCCTTTTACAATATAGGTTAAACATTATAGATTTTTAAGCCAAGAAAACAAAAATTACCCAACAAAACAACTAAAATACTTTACAAAAGCATTAAAAAACGTTAAAAAAATTAGTCAACAACAATATGCAAATGGGAATTCGTTCATAAAACAATTTTAGCTTATGATTTAATATTTTGACGTACCTGATGACAAATGAACAAATCAATTCAGCGCGCCCCTAATAAATACAAACACATTCGAGCCGCGAAAACTCATCACATAATGAATTTCACACCATCACGACCGAAAACTCAAGGCGTACGCATAATTAGCAAGTGTAAATTTAACGTGAGAAACAATACGAAAACTTCGTTTCTGCACTTTAGACTTTTTTCATTGACTGTTCAATGCAGTACAACCAAAGATAGATTATCTTTGAGTACAACCATCGGTTGTCAAGGTTATTTCGCGGCAGCCAAGGAAGATGTAAGAGATTTCGCTTCGACGCGGTAGGAGATACCGGACGGTAGGGTGACGTCACACATTGGGATAAAAGTTCTTATTTTGGAGTTATTTATTGAAATATATGGTTTAAAATGTGGTAAATTTTATTGTACAGTATATTTATTGTAATTCTTTTGGGTTTACGCATGGATATTTTTAAGTTAACCTATTTTTAGTTGTTACAAAAACATTCCTAGCATTTGCCAAAATATAATTTATGTGAATTTTAATAATAAAAAATAGTAATTTGGCACACCTTTAAAAATATTCCTTATCGTACCTATACTTACAAAGACATTTTTTAAATAACACGTGTTTAATTATGGCGCAAACATAAGGTGATTTTCTAAAATGAAAAACCAGGAAACAACATGCCCTTCCAAAAAAAACAAAATTTATTTATTATTTTAAAAAAAGATGCGCTAATAACGCCAAAAATTTAGATTTTTTAATTAATTTTTAACCTGAGCCCCGACCACTTTTACTAAAAAAGTTAGAACAAATCCCAAAAAAGTGGGAAAAACTCACAATTAAAAAAAAAATCAAACGAGGTTTTTTACCTACTCCAAAAAATTTAGATTTGTAAATTAATTTTTAGCCTGAGCACCGACCAGAACCTGTCCTGGGTAAACCAGGACGGTTGCTGCTAACACGCAAAATGGAGGTATTGACCAGAAATGTGTACAGTTGTCCCCCAAATAATTAAAAACTATTAAAGGGGAGTGTTGCTTCTCTTGGGTTGCTCTGTTTCGGTTTTTTCTTTAAAAGATTTTACTAAAATTAGTACTGAAGTGTATTCAAATCCAAGCTGGACTAAACAAAAACGCCCAGACGCATGATAACTTGTTCTTATTGGTCGATTCTGATGGTGTGATTTGAATTGTGAGTTCCTATTGGTCGATTCGGAGGATTGTGTTTACATTTAGTCCAGCTTGGATTTGAATAGACTTTAGTCTTAGAAGACTTTAGTACTATATAGTACTTTATATAGGTAGGTACTCTTAAAATGTAAAAATGGATTTATCGGTTTTTGCATGTTAACAGCAAATTTGCAGCAAATTATAGTAGGTAGTTTATTTTGCACAACGTGAATTTTATTAATATTTACTAAAATGTATAGGCGGTAAAATTAAATAAAATTATTGTTTACCGGATTGCGATTTTCCTAAATTGGCCAATTTCCAAAATAGTTACTTAAATAATACATTATAGGTACCTGATTTAACATTTCGTGCATAATGTGCATTAGTTAAATTACTTACCTACTACCTAATTTATTTTTGTTAAGATGTAAAGTTTTACACTTTATTAAAAAATTGTAGAACCTATAATAAATAATATAATACCTATTATCGTTGAGTGAATAATTCAATGCTATTATAATAATGGATATTATTCATTTTACCAATTCACCAGAATAAACAATTTTAAGGTAATAAACACAGGGTGGTAATATATTACCTATAGCCACGTGCTCTGTACGCTATTAGGTAATCGGGAACAAGACTTTGTTTCATGCTGCACACTGGCAGTGACACTGCACCACAATATATTGTGGTGCAGTGTTATAATATATTAGACTGGGCCAAAAAAAATTACTATTTTTTTTTTTTGAAAAATATATCGAGAATGTCATTCAGAATGACAAAAACAAAATTTTGTGAAAATTTGAGCCCTTAATATTAATTTTAAGAGGTCTATCATCGCTATTTTTGATTTTTAGTCATAATTTGATGTTTTACGTTAGAACTGTCAAAACATTAAAGTGAAAAAAATCCTTTTCATTTGTTTTTATATAAAATTAAATTCTCTACAAAAAAGGTCTGATTGAAAATTTTCGTCAGACGAGCCGTTTCCGAGTAATTGAGCTTAATAAATCGATATGTTTTTTCGATTTGCCCTTTTTACTTTGAAATTTTGTAACTAATGAATCAATGAATATTTAAAAAAGCTCACGTCGGATTCTTAAAAGAAATTTAATGGTCTACAAAAAAGGTCTCTTAACATTTTTGCCTAAATTTAATTCTTCAAAAGTTATTCACGAAAAAAAAATTGAAATTTTAAGTTTTTCTTCAATTTTAATCGTGAATAACTTTTGAAGAATTAAATTTAGGCAAAAATGTTAAGAGACCTTTTTTGTAGACCATTAAATTTTTTTTAAGAATCCGACGTGAGCTTTTTTAAATATTCATTGATTCAATAGTTACAAAATTTCAAAGTAAAAAGGGCAAATCGAAAAAACACATCGATTTATTGAGCTCAATTACTCGGAAACAGCTCGTCTGACGAAAATTTTCAATCAGACCTTTTTTGTAGAGAATTTAATTTTATATAAAAATAACTGAAAAGGAATTTTTTTCACTTTAATGTTTTGACAGTTCTAGCGTAAAACATCAAATTATGACTAAAAATCAAAAATAGCGATGATAGACCTCTTAAAATTAATATTAAGGGCTCAAATTTTCACGAAATTTTTTTTTTGTCATTCTAAATGACATTCTCGATATATTTTTCAAAAAAAAAATAGTCAATTTTTTTGGCCCAGTCTATAATATATAATATATTTATATATAATAAACATTATATATAATAATGATAATAATTATAATTATAATAATATTGGTGAATTGGTAAAATGAATATACTATACCCATTATACAGGGTGTCGCACTAAAGTACCTAATCTAAATTCGTGACTAAAATGGCGTTTATCAAACTCAATGCATAATTTACTATTAAGTTATAGTGTTTCTTAAGAAGTTATACTTTAAAATAGTATAACTCCTTGAAAAATACCTACTAGGTATAAATTAAAATTTATAACTTTTTTAAATAAATACAACCCACATTCAGATATGTGTATTCTGAGTTGCCTAATAACAAATAATATTTTGAATATAATATATATATA